ATGTTCAACATTGTAGTAAATAATATGTGCCCGAATTTACAGAAAAGTCCGGGCTCGTCCGGGATTTGAACCCGGGACCTCCCGCACCCTAAGCGGAAATAATACCCCTAGACCAACGAGCCACGGTGTTGGTCGTTGTATACTCAATAAACGCGGTATACTCAATAAACACATTTTACACATGAGTTGCCACTTACGTTTATTATCTAAGCCAAAATCATACCTCTAGACCAACTAGCCACGGGTTCTATCCAGTGCGTGTTTGTGTTGCATCCAATATACAACATTATAGTAAATAACATATTCTCGATCCAATATACGTTATTGTAGTAAATAATATGCGCTCGTATTTAAAGAAATGTCCGGGCTCGTCCGGGATTTGAACCCGAAACCTCCCGCACCCTAAGCGGAAATCATACCCCTAGACCAACGAGCCATGCGGTATACTCAATGAACACATTTTACACATGATTTGCCACTTACATTTATTATCTAAGCCAAAATCATACCCCTAGATCAACTAGCCACGGGTTTTATCCAGTGCGTGTTTGTGTTGCATACAATGTACAACATTGTAGTAATAATATGTTCTCGATCCAATATACATTATTGTAGTAATAATATGTAGACCAACGAGCCGCCGGTTTCACCCAGTGCGTGTTTGTATTGGATACACTGTACAACATTGTAGTGAATAATATATTTTCGATCCAATATACAATATTGTAGTAAATTATATGTACTCGAATTTAAAGAAATGCGGGACCTCCCGCACTCTAAGCGGAAATCATACCCCAAGACCAGCGAGCCACGCGGTCTACTCGAAAAACTCTATACCAACGAGCCACGGGTTATACCCAGTGCGTGTTTGTGTTGGATCCAATGTACAACATTGTAGTAAATAATAGGCACTCGAATTTAAAGAAATGTCAGGGCTCGTCCGGGATTTGAACCCGGGACCTCCCGCACCCAAAGCGGGAATCATACCCCTAGACCAACAAGCCACGAGTTGTACGCCCCCGGGTAGGTTCAATCCACCAACCTTTCGGTTAAACTTTAAATATTACTAATGAAAAGGCGTTTGTTCGTTACTTAATTAACTAACCTATATTTACATTTAATAATCACTTATCCTAAAACACTGCTTATTCTAACATGGAACTTATATCTACACTAATCGGTAACCCATGTTGCATCCAATGTACATCATTGTAGTAAATAATATGTACTCGAATTCAAAGAAATGTCCGGGCTCGTCCGGGATTTGAACCCGGGAAGCAGAAATCATACCCCTAGACCAACGATCCAAATAAAACATTGTAGTAAATAATAGGTACTCGAATTTGAAGAAATGTCCGGGCTCGTCCGGGATTTGAACCCGGCACCCCCCGCACCCAAAGCGGAAATCATACCCCTACACCAACGAGCGACATACTCTACCCAGTGCGTGTTTGTGTTTCATCCAATGTACAACATTGTAGTAAATAGTATGTGCTCGAATTTAAAGGAACCTCCCGCACCCTAAGCGGAAATTATACCCCAAGACCAGCGAGCCACGCGGTCTACTCAATAAACCTCTATACCAACGAGCCACGCGCTATACTCAATAAACACATTTTACATATGATTTGCCACTTACGTTATTATCTAAGCCAAAATAACTATGCATCCTATGTACAACATGCCAAGGGTTCTACTCAATAAACACATTTTACACATGATTTGCAACTCACGTTTAATATCTAAGCCTAAATCATAACCCTAGTCCAACAAGCCACGGGTTTTATCCAGTGCATGTTTGTGTTGGAACCAATGTACAACATTGTTGTAAATAATATGTTCTCGATCCAATATACAATACTGTAGTAAATAATATGTGCTCGAATTTAAAGAAATGTCCGGGCTCGTGTAAACTACATATATGATGAATAATATAATCATCAAATACTATTGGGTATAAACAATATGCATTGAATGTTCCAGAGTATAAATAATAACTACTTTACGCCCCCGGGTGGGCTCGAACCACCAACCTTTCGGTTAACAGCCGAACGCGCTAGCCAATTGCGCCACGGGGGCTCTTATCGCTTCTTGATAATAGTAACACATCTCAATAAACACATTTTACACATGATTTGCCCATTTTAGTAAATAATAGGCACTCGATTTTATAGAAATGTCAGGGCTCGTTCGGGATTGAACCCGGGACCTCCCGCACCCAGAGCGGGAATCATACCCCTAGACCAACGAGCCACGAATTGTACCCACGAGTTGTACGCCCCCGCGTAGGTTCAATCCACCAACCTTTCAGTTAAACTTTAAATATTACTAATGAAAAGGCGTTTGTTCGTTACTTAATTAACTAACCTATATTTACATTTAATAATCACTTATCCTAAAACATTGCTTATTCTAACATGGAACTTATATCTACACTAATCTGTAACCCATGTTGCATCCAATGTACATCATTGTAGTAAATAATATGTACTCGAATTCAAAGAAATGTCCGGGCTCGTCCGGGATTTGAACCCGGGAAGCAGAAATCATACCCCTAGACCAACGATCCAAATAAAACATTGTAGTAAATAATAGGTACTCGAATTTGAAGAAATGTCCGGGCTCGTCCGGGATTTGAACCCGGCACCCCCCGCACCCAAAGCGGAAATCATACCCCTACACCAACGAGCGACATACTCTACCCAGTGCGTGTTTGTGTTTCATCCAATGTACAACATTGTAGTAAATAGTATGTGCTCGAATTTAAAGGAACCTCCCGCACCCTAAGCGGAAATTATACCCCAAGACCAGCGAGCCACGCGGTCTACTCAATAAACCTCTATACCAACGAGCCACGCGCTATACTCAATAAACACATTTTACATATGATTTGCCACTTACGTTATTATCTAAGCCAAAATAACTATGCATCCTATGTACAACATGCCAAGGGTTCTACTCAATAAACACATTTTACACATGATTTGCAACTCACGTTTAATATCTAAGCCTAAATCATAACCCTAGTCCAACAAGCCACGGGTTTTATCCAGTGCATGTTTGTGTTGGAACCAATGTACAACATTGTTGTAAATAATATGTTCTCGATCCAATATACAATACTGTAGTAAATAATATGTGCTCGAATTTAAAGAAATGTCCGGGCTCGTGTAAACTACATATATGATGAATAATATAATCATCAAATACTATTGGGTATAAACAATATGCATTGAATATTCCAGAGTATAAATAATAACTACTTTACGCCCCCGGGTGGGCTCGAACCACCAACCTTTTGGTTAACAGCCGAACGCGCTAGCCAATTGCGCCACGGAGGCTCTTATCGCTTCTTGATAATAGTAACACATCTCAATAAACACATTTTACACATGATTTGCCAATTGCGTGTTTGTGTTGGATCAAATATACAACATTTTAGTAAATAATAGGCACTCGATTTTATAGAAATGTCAGGGCTCGTCCGGGATTTGAACCCGGGACCTCCCGCACCCAAAGCGGAAATCATACCCCTAGACCAACGAGCCACGAGTTGTACCCACGAGTTGTACGCCCCCGCGTAGGTTCAATCCACCAACCTTTCGGTTAAACTTTAAATATTACTAATGAAAAGGCGTTTGTTCGTTACTTAATTAACTAACCTATATTTACATTTAATAATCACTTATCCTAAAACACTGCTTATTCTAACATGGAACTTATATCTACACTAATCGGTAACCCATGTTGCATCCAATGTACATCATTGTAGTAAATAATATGTACTCGAATTCAAAGAAATGTCCGGGCTCGTCCGGGATTTGAACCCGGGACATCCGCACCTTAAGCAGAAATCATACCCCTAGACCAACGATCCAAATAAAACATTGTAGTAGATAATAGGTACTCGAATTTGAAGATTGTTGTCGGGCTCGTCCGGATTTGAACCCGGGACCCTCCCGCACCCAAGCGGAATTCATACCCCTACACCCAACGAGCGACATACTCTACCCAGTGCGTGTTTGTGTTTCATCCAATGTAAAACATTGTAGTAAATAGTATGTGCTCGAATTTAAAGGAACCTCCCGCACCCTAAGCGGAAATTATACCCCAAGACCAGCGAGCCACGCGGTCTACTCAATAAACCTCTATAACCAACAAGCCACGCGCTATACTCAATAAACACATTTACATATGATTTGCACTTACGTTATTATCTAAGCCAAAATCATACCCCTAGACCAACGAGCCACGGGTTCTATCCAGTGCGTATTTGTATTGCATCCAATGTACAACATTGTAGTAAATAATATGTTCTCGATCCAATATACATTATTGTAGTAAATAATATGTGCTCGAATTTAAAGAATTGTCCGAGCTCATCCGGAATTTAAACCCGGGACCTCCCGCACCCTAAACGGAAATCATACCCCTAGATGAACTAGCCGCCGGTTTCACCCAGTTCGTGTTTGTGTTGAATACAATGTACAACATTGTAGTAAATAATATACGTATTTTCGATCCAGTATACAATATTGTAGTAAATAATATGTGCCCGCGCTCGTCCAGGATTTGAACCCGGGACCTCCCCACCCAAAGCGGGAATCATACCCCTAGACCAACGAACCACATGTTCTACCCAGTGCGTGTTTGTGTTGCATCCAATGTTCAACATTGTAGTAAATAATATGTGCCCGAATTTAAAGAAAAGTCCGGGCTCGTCCGGATTTGAACCCGGGACCTCCCGCACCCTAAGCGGAAATCATACCCCTAGACCAACGAGCCACGCGTATACTCAATAAATACATTTTGCACATGAGTTGCCACTTACGTTTATTATCTAAGCCAAAATCATACCTCTAGACCAACTATCCACGGGTTCTATCCAGTGCGTGCTTGTGTTGCATCCAATGTACAACAATATAGTAAATAACATATTCTCGATCCAATATACATTATTGTAGTAAAAATAATATGCGCTCGTATTTAAAGAAATGTCCCGGCTCGTCCGGGATTTGAACCCGAAACACCTCCCGCACCCTAAGCGGAAATCATACCCCTAGACCAACGAGCCACGCGGTATACTCAATAACACATTTTACACATGATTTGCCACTTACATTTATTATCTAAGCCAAATCATACCCCTAGACAACTAACACCACGGGTTTTATCGAGTGCGTGTTTGTGTTGCATACAATGTACAACATTGTAGTAAATAATATGTTCTCGATCCAATAAACAATATTGTAGTAAATAATATGTAGACCAACGAGCCGCCGGTTCACCCAGTGCGTGTTTGTGTTGGATACACTGTACAACATTGTAGTGAATAATATATTTTCGATCCAATATACATATTGTAGTACAATAATATGTACTCGAATTTAAAGAAATGCGGGACCTCCCGCACCCTAAGCGGAAATCATACCCCAAGACCAGCGAGCCACGCGGTCTACTCGAAAACTCTATACCAACGAGCCACGGGTTTACCCCAGTGCGTGTTTGTGTTGGATCCAATGTACAACATTGTAGTAAATAATAGGCACTCGAATTAAAGAAATGTCAGGGCTCGTCCGGGATTTGATCCGGGACCTCCCGCACCCAAGCGAATCATACCCCTAGACCAACGAGCCACGGGTTGTACCCACTGCGTATTTGTGTTGCATCCATGTACAACATGCCACGGGTTCTACTCAATAAACACATTTTACACATGATTTTGCAACTCTCGTTTAATATCTAAGCCGAAATCATAACCCTAGTCCAACAAGCCACGGGTTTTATCCAGTGCATGTTTGTGTTGGAACCAATGTACAACATTGTTTGTAAATAATATGTTCTCGATCCAATATACAATACTGTAGTAAACAATA